CCGTTGTCCGACACTCTTCATGGCGAACCTTTCCAGACAATTCTCCAAGACGCCAAAAGGGCCAATGGCTTCACGATTCCCTCCCTATTGTGATAGAAATGAAGTAATGGATTACTTCTCCATTAATGATTATAGATACTGATTATCCTATAATATAAAATTCATGAACTCAACAAAGTTACTTCCTGCTTCGAAGCCGTGCTGTAAAAAAATAATAACAAAAATTATCGAATCCGACAAAGCAATTCTTAAAACGGTGCAAGAAGCCCTTAAAAATACGGCCAAACTAGTCAATTTTTTGTAAAAATGTGAATATTAGACCAGCAAATTCCTGGCGTGCTTGAGAATATCCGCTGTGAAGGAAAAAAGGGGAAATATAATTATAACCGATTAGCATGTGTCAAGAGCCATTATATTTTAGTACTTGACTGGTAATGAATAAGGATGCTTCTCAATTATGGACGATGTTTGAGTAAGGACCTTTTCTGAATATCAACAAGGAGATTCAATGGAGCCCCCTTGAGTGGCAGTTGAGCCTATTGGCCAGTTTGTATGTGCACACAGAGGCTCTGTTTGTCCTTTCTTGGCGACCCTCACGGCATTCCTTTTGTAAAGGTTTTGTTCGATTTTAGTTTAAGGCGATTCAATCCCGGCCGACAAAAGGGCACCAATTTTCACTTTGCATACACTGGAGCGGAGTCGCCCCCCTGACTGATCTACTGACGCCCTCGGTTTAATGACATTCTCCATTACAGAAGCCGTACCCGTTTTATTACTACACCCTTTACAATTTCAACCGCACAAAACAACAAACATTTCCTAAGGCTCGAAATTAAACTTCTCTAAAATCCATCGTATATTCGACAGAATACAATTACAAAAATGAGAAAAATGGCGATAAGGCGCATTATGAAGGTTCATTTTATCTTCTTTGCTTTTGACAATATTTGAAACGACATTAAAACCCCTCGTCCTATTTGCTTTTTGCTCCTAGTTTTTTATTTATATATTTATTTTTAACCTGCATATCCATTTGATAATTTAAAATTTTTGATAAGATATAATATTTCACGTTGAAATATTTTGACGTTTTAGCCTTCTTGAAAGCTTTTTACAATATCGAAACGACATTATAACCCCTTTCTATGTTTGTTTTTTACTCCTAATTTTTTATTTATATATTTATTTTTAACCTGCATATCGATTTGATAATTTAAAATTGTTGATAAGATATAATGTTTCACGTTGAAATATTTTGACCTTTTAGCCTGTTTGAAATATAAGATCAGCAGTAATCACCGTCTAGTTATATATGTTAATATCTCAATCGTCTATTTAAATGTAGCTAAATTCTCAGTAATTTCCTTTGATGGTTCTTCCAACACTATATATATATTTTTTTTATTTTTATTTTTGAAAGATTTAGTGTTTGTTTTTTACCATAAATTAAATGGAAAATTCCAGAAGGGTATTTTCATGAATAAAATTAAATGCTTTTTTTCTGTCCTTTTTTTTCGATTTCCCCAAACATGAATAGTTTATAACAAGGTTCGCAACAGCAAAGGTCATATCAACCCTCAGGGTGCCGATGTTTTTGAAAAAAAGCCCATTTGTAAGTATGTCTGTATCCAGCGGCCCTGCGTTCGATCCCGGGACCTTTTACCTTACAGTGATGAGCGCCGTGTTAACGCCTAAACAGTTGCGGCCACCGTCGCCCCCAAGAGGGTTGTTATATAAAAGAAAGAAATGACGAACTCTTCAACCTTTTTCTATTACTGTCATTAATAAATACATAAATTAATCGAAGAAGATTGAACAGTTCGTCATTTTGTTCACATAACAATTAAAAATCTTGTAATTTTATTACCTTTTGCTTGTAATGAGTGAATAAAAAAAGGAAAAGTTCAACGTCATTTGGTGGTTCACTGGGTTTATTGTCTCTATTTCTTGTGTTTTCTTTCAATATTTACATTTTTTATGGTCTTTTTTTATTTGTTTTGTCTATTTTTTATTTCGTTTCATGTTTTTTCTTAATTTAAAGTCGGGAAATAAATTGTGCCTAGGACAAAAAGTTGAATTACTAGATTAACGCCACCCCCTTTTTCACACCGTCAATACTTTTTTTCCTATTTAGCATAAATTTTCTGGATCTTAGTTCGAGTAGTAATGATTAATAAAAAGGGTGTACTGCTAGAAAGCTTATTCAATGAAGAAGCTTTTATGAAAGTTTACAAGTTCTACCGCGAAGTTTTCCAACGAATATGCAAATTTAGTTTTTTAGCAAATTGTAAATTTAATAATTTTTGAAAGATTTAGTGTTTGTTTTTTTACCAAAAATTAAATGGAAAATGCTAGAAGGGTATTTTCATGAATAAAATTAAATGCATTTTTTCTATCCTTTTTTTCGATTTCCCCAATCATTAATAGTTCAGGAACTGTGAATAGATTTATGGCAAAAGCCGTAGATAGTTGAAAAACCCTAAAATAATGAATATCTGCAAAAAGGTTGAGAATCGGACCACGGTTCATTCATAATTTTTTGTCATTCTAGAGGTTTGACGGGAACAGCTTGACACCATGTAAAATTTAAGTATTTTATTAAACATAAAATAAAAAGAAATCAACACTTTTTTTCAACTCGCAGAGCTCATTTGTAAACATCGTGATTTCTTAGGACTGAGTACGATCTATAGTTAAATAAATAAATAAGAGCTAGAGCAGAGCTCAACCCTAGGAAGTAGGATCGCGCAACGTTGAAACTGGGCTGGCGGAGAACGCTGAAAAGCATCTGAAGAAGTGAATTAGGAAGGCTGAGAGCGGTTGGGCAAACGGGATGAATCCCTTTAGTCACATTATTGTGAAGTGGTAAATACTAAAAAATTAAATTTCAAATTCAAATTCAAAATTAAACAGAAGATTTATCAGAGTGGAGGTGATATCTACCGATCTTTTTTTCCGAGGGGTTTATTGCTCGCCTAGTGAAGTGAGTTAATTCTTTTGCTTACCTCGCGAACGCGTCCCCATCACTAGACTGTGGCTAGTGAATTTCGCGAAACTGTCGAAACACCAGCCGTGAGTCGATCTGGAAATTAATCATACTGTAGAGATACCAGGGCTGGAGTGCAATCTTCCAATCTCGAGTCTTGAAAAAAAAGGCACTGTCTAATAACCAGAGTTTTCCCGGCGGGAAAACGTGAGCAAACGGGATCAGTTATACATCGGGCCGATATAGAAAAAACATTCTTTATCTCCTTTTTCTTTTCCAATAAGGGGAGTAATGAAATCGGAAAAAGACCTCTACAGTTTTCCAATCACGAGCCTAGAAAACTGTTATGTACTTCGCCGGTTTGAGACTTGAAAGCGAAGCCGACCAGCTGAAGTTTGTGTTCTTCAAACCAATCTGTATCTAATTCTTCATTCTTTATTCCCTTACCTCGTTATAATATTAATATGAATCGATTCGGTCTTTGTCAGTAATGGTTATGGGAGCCTTCCCAACTGACGAAAAAATATACTATAATATAAAAATATATATGTAAATTCAAAATTGTAATTCCGTATAATTCCTGCTTAAATCGCATTGCAAGTTCTTCAAAAGATAGTAAGAACAGCAAGCACTTTCTAATTGATTTCTTCAATATTCCTTTCTCAATGTCTCGCCCATGCATGACAAATAACGTAATGGCGGATTTTACTAGTTAATCCGAGAACTGTGTAAATATTTGCATTCTGTTCTTTTACTTTCTGTGATACTTTCGTTACCGATCATTTTGGTACCCTCGCTAGATCGGTCTGTCTTTACAATAACAGACGATATCAATGGATTGAAGAATGTTATATTGTTGATGGTACAAGGTTTCCGGAAAAAAAAACTCCAAACAAACCCGCCAGAAATACTGAAGCAGGATAACACAGCGAGGATGGACAGACCAAAATAATCGGTAACAACCAAATTACTTTTTCAACACTTTACTGTGTGTGTTTCTTAGTGACCTGTTGTTTCATAATTTGTTGAAGTCGTGAGGAGAGGTCAAGAATGAGGTAGTGTAGAAAAACTCCTTTTTTCATTTGTTTGCCGACCTTTATTCGACAACAACCGCATGCACGCTCTATTTAATACGTTGCTTGCTAAAATATAGTTATATAGCGTAGTTTTCAAATTTTTGGAGCCTAAAAATGTTATTAGATGGAATATTCAAAATATCCCCTTTGATAGGATTCATTAAATTACATCTGTTTAGGTCTTTATAAAGTCACTCCTCCCCTTATTCGCGTACGTAATCATATTGCGTTATTATCCATAAATAAACAGAGGGGTTGCGTGCGCCCATAACGCACATGTTACTTCTCCAAAAGCCGATAAACTAATCATTAAAAGCCACAAACTAAAAATAAATAGATGTACCTTTCCATCGCGTCATCAGCCTGTTTATCTACACTTTCGAAATCGGTATCTGGATAAAGGTTACCTCCATGTGTTCGACTTAATTGAAGGGTGTCACTTTTTCGCTCTGTTTAGAAAACGTGGAATTCCAAGTGATATGAGAATGTATTTGAGCGAGGCAGTGATTATTTAGGCTTCAGTTCCGAGTGTTGGATAGATTTACCGTTTGTGTTATTGAGATTGAATGTATGAATTAGCGTGAATGTGCAGTGCGAGAGTGCTTATTGCAATATATTAACAGAGAATAGTAATAATTAGGAAAGTGTTTTAAGAATGAGTGTGTCTAGTAGCTTAGTTCCCTTGATGTTGACAGCTGGAACTTAACTTCGATGGCGGGACGGATAATACTGCCGGACTGCCAAAACTCGAATTAGATAATAGACATAAACACAATTCTATGCATATCAGTTATATGTGTGGTGTTGAGCTTATATAAATCAAACAAACATCTTAATGCCCGTAAACATCGCGAGGTATCTGATGATATCACAAATATCCCCAATACAAGTTTTTCTTTTATTTCAGTTTTCATTGTTTTTCTTGTTTTTGTCTTCAGGTTTCTTCAATAAACCGCGTTCTGAGGAATCTGGCCGCTCAGAAAGAGCAGCAAGCGAGCGCCCAGGCTCAGAGCGAGGCCGTTTACGACAAACTGAGGATGTTCAACGGGCAAGCTGCTGCAGCAGGATGGGCCTGGTATCCGGGCACTCCGCCAGCCCCCCACCTACCCCTGCCGCACAACGCCGCCCCCCTTCATTTAACCCACGAAGAATCGCACAAAACCGGTAAGTTTATATCCTATTTCGTATCCTCTGTTTTCTAATGAAATTAACAAGTTTGAAGAACTCTGGTCACTGTCTACATACTTATAATAGGAGATGGACCGCATATGTGATTTGAGTCAGTCTTCTTTTTGCATTTATCACGCCGAGACAACATACAAGGCTTGAAAACAAACATCGGAGTGGACGCCCTAGGTTTATCAATTCCAGTCTCTAAAAGAATTTGTAAAACAACCACGCACAAGCACGCAGAAACATTTTTCAGAATTAGGAGTGTCTCAAAGTAGTGTTTTCCGGCGTTGGCTCTTCACTGGAATTATTTCCAGAAGGTGGTGTGTCCCGCACAACTTGGCGCACATCAGGCATAACAAAGGGGTAGAAACGTGGAAAAATCGTTTGCAAAACCCAAATGACATTCGTTTCATCAAACTTGTGACGAAAAAAATTGTTTATTTAAAAAAACCCTAACTATAAAAAGAAGTTGGGTTAAGCCAAGACAGTCATCAAGCCTGTCTCAAGAAATGAACGATTGGAAAAAATTTATAACGTTTTTATGGTGGAATTTCTAGTGTAACGTTTAGTTCATCCCCGGAGAACCTCAGAGGTTTATTGTGGGAACTTGGGAGAATGTACTCAGCTCTAAACTGGTGAATGGGAAACACGTTCTATTGCAACAAGATAACGCAAGACTCCACACATCCAACATTGCCAAATTAAAAATTAAGTAGTTGAAATTTTATCTTCTTAATCCCTTCAGAAATTGAAAATGAGTGCTAAGAGTTTTTCGCATCAAGAGACGCTTCAAGGTATCGCGTTGGCATCGGTCGTTTGGCATAAAGGTGGATTGAATTGAATCGGAATGAAATTTTTTATTATTAGCCAAAAATATGTTTAAAAAAATAAAACAAAAAACGCAGACTTTTGTATCACCCTATTGTTTAGAAAGTTGAAAAAGTTATCATCAGCTACTTTTTCGACTGCAAATACCTTTACATCCATTGTTTTTCCCACGAAAACCGTCGTATGCAGGATGGTCTTTCTTTGATGCCTGTTCCTTGGCCAAGATCCCGCATTGTTTTATATTCCTGATTATTAAGATGTTAGTGATAAACGAGAAGGGAGAGACCGTTATCTGCGTTCAATAGACTAGAAATTTTTTAAGTGTGTTTTATGGCACTTCTCGTCCGCCTCCTGCGACTCGACAACTAGCCGCTTATTGTCCGATTTCTAGTCCATTATACAGCAGCAGGCGTCAGTCTGGATTTACCACGGGTTTACCGGGTAGAGGCGAATCCGCCGGCGATTAGTGACTGAAGGGCCTTGAAAGGGGCACATTTACCTGGGACTTTTTGAAATGTGATACGATTTCTTGCCTATCCGGCTCACAGAGGTATCAAAGAACGAGATTATTGCTTATTAATCTAGACCTCCGTCGGTGACTGTCTTCGAGAACACTGGAAAACGAAACTCCCTCGGATACGGATCAGTATTAGCCGCCCCAATGATGATGGCTAATCGCTGGGATCCATTTCAAAGGGAACACTGAACGCCCCTTTTCGCGGCGATAGTGTGACCTGGCACAATGGCTTCTCAATTTTTTATTGTGTTCACAGAAGTGAGACAAAAAGAAAAGTCTGTATTGAATCGTGTATGAATATTTTGTTGGACAGTAGTCTTTAACGGAATCGGTATCATCGGCAGACTAGATACAGCCTATAGATGGTTATATTATAATAGAATGACGTTGGAGCAATGCTGCAGAGGGTGACGCTTATTATACTAGGTTTTTAAAGGAAAAAATAATGATTAATTTACTGCACTGATTATCAACTTTTTTTACATAAGATTTCTTTTAGATCGGTGTTGAGTCTGTAGTTGGGTGGTTTCCGAACTGACTATCCACTTCTCACCATCTTCAGTAGTGATTCAATTCACACAACCATGTAAGATTTTAATTTTTTATTCATTCTTCCTCTTTCGCTAAAGGCAAATTTGCTAGATTATCTGTGCTAGTTGAAAAAGATCATGAAATTATTATTTTATTCCTTTTTTGGTTTGGGCGACAGATTTTCGGCTCGTAAAATGTGCGGTCGTGGGTCCGAATCCCACCGTCGTCCTGGTATTTCATAATCGAGTTCAACTACCCATTATTTACGGCTGATAATTTGATTTTTATCAGAAACCCTCTTTTCTAAGACATGGCTGCAATCCTGAACAATTTCCTATCTGGCTTCTTCTTTTATAAATTGCCGAGTTTCCCCTTCCATGAAAATCAGACGTTCAAACTGATTTTCCCTCGCAGACCACCGCCTGGAACAGTCGCGTTGGATGATGGGAAGGCGAGGCTTAAAATTAATTAGGTTGTATAAACAAACCTAAGTCAAATCCCGTCGGGGGCTGCGCTCCTAATGAATAATGCAAGGCTTGCTGTTGGCCTGATCCCTTAATTAAAAGGTAAAATAAAATTGCAGAAAACTCGAAAACGCTATAGTTACTCTTGACCTGGGAACAATCTGATTCTCTTTTCTGAGCTCAAACAAAGCCAGGTCAACTTTCAGGTAGGCCTAAAATTAAGTTTTAATTTAAAAACGTTTGCTGTTTGTTAAAAAAAAATTAATTTAACAATTTTGAAAAAGTCATTTTAAAAGTCAAAAAACTTCTTTCTTGGCAGTTCTATGAAAGTTGTTTATCCTAATATTTTAAATACTTAAATAATAGTTTCACTTACCAGGCTATGGACGTCACCTAACAGCGACTTAGTCAAAGTACGTTAAAAAAGTTTTTTCATATTCGTTTTTTTACACAAGAAAAGAGTAAATTATTAAATATTTTTGTTCTTTTAATTTTTGCTTTCATTTTGCCTCAGACTTATTTTTTTGTGAAAATTCTTTGAAAATTTCAAAAAAATCTTTAAATCCGAACGTAATGGCATAAACTTGGTTTCCGTAAATAAATCAGATCCGGTGGTATAAATTGAAAAGTTTGAGGATTTTTTTTTCCGAATTTATCCTAATTTTTCTCGCTTTAATTGACATAAAAGCCAACAGTTATTGATATAGGCTGAAAAAAAGACAAATTACGCTTTCTAGTAATCATAATAACTAAATCTATTACAGTTCGTGGTCCGATTGACCAATTAACATTTTTCAATGAATTAATATTTATGAAAGGAATTGGTTAAGATAAAAAAAGTAAGTGTCACGAGCGGGATTTGAACCCACGACCTTCGGCTAAATACGTCGCTACTCTACCGCTACGCTACGCTATCGTGACTTCGATCCGCTCCGACACTAACTTCCCATCTCAACCTCACCTCTCGAATTTTCCCTCCTTTTTGCCATTTTTCAAATGTCGTGTAATCTATTTGATTCTCGGCGACAAATGAAATGGCAACGGAGAGCTTTAGTGAAGGTATACTTCATTTTATCTTATTAAATTCACTATGTTTTGGCTTAATTTACAGAATGCGTCTTTTGCTTTTTTTTACTTTTTATGTACCTAATCTCATTAATTAGGGCGTAGCATATTATTTTCTTATTCTCCTTCTCGTCAAAAATAATTCAAAAGATTTATAAGAATTTTGAAATAAATGAATAACATGGGCAGAAAAGCACATTTAATTATACATTTCAATATCTTCGATACCCATGTTGTGGTAATTATGCTATTTTGATGGAATGACCAAACGACGAAGGAAAGTAGGTGAAAACATTTTTTTATCAAGAAACAAGGTTCATTTTCGTTTTCCGCACCCAAAAATACCCCTTGAATACAATTTTTGCGCAAAAAATTGTTTTTATCAAAATTTTCGCCTTCCAGTCGAGGATATTTTTTCCAAAATCACAAAAATGTTGGCAACTTTGAAACGTCTTTACCGATCTACAGATAACTTTACAAAGTTTTAGATCTTTATAAATCACACTTAAAGCTCAAACCAGGTTTCCGTAAATAAATCATAACCGGCGATATAAAATAAAACGTTTGAGGAGTTTTTATAGATTTCATTTTTCTTTTTCTTATTTATAAGGATTTAGCTTTCTAACATTTGTAATAACATTGGATTTGGATATTCAGAGGAGCAATTTTCTGTTTTCTAGTAAAATACATATTTAATGCTTTGAAGTGTTTGAAACGAATCCAAATGTTTTGTCAAAAACAATTTTTTTTACTTTCTTGATTGAATTCTTCTTTTGGTTTTTGCAATTTCTTACACTCCCTCAATCGTTAGCTTTATGTAAGTCGAAATACCCTGGATAAAAACTGCGACGTGGATAATGAGGCAAAATAAACTTTCTACCTCTCGTTTGTATTCTTTTTCTCTATGTCCAGAGTAAAGGGGGTTATGGACAATGGATACAGTACGCGGATAATTAACTTTGATCTTTGATAAAGTTTGGAGTAGAACTGCAGTAGTTAGAAAATATCGTAGATATCCAAAACTTACGTGAATGGTTATTACGCTTAACGAGTCACCCTTTCCCTACGAAATTGCCATCCCCATAAAATGAAGTAAAAACGAGTAGCGGGATGGTCCCCAAATTAGGGTGTGGAACAAAAGGAAGGGCACCGAAATAATAACGTTCCAAGTTTCACTGTGGAGTGTTCCTCTCGGTTGAGCGGTTAGCTCCCCTTCCTCCACCGGCAAGATTGCACAGTCCTCCTGTTCCACCCTTCTCCGTCCCAACTCCTCCGTTTCTTCTTCTTCGCCTCGCCCCTCTCGCTTCATCTGCAGACCTACGCCAACTTCCCAGACCTTCAGTTACATTACGGGAAAATTGATAACTTATGGCGTTCCCCTACCTTCTTTGTTGATTATTTGGTCTTGCACGTTTTCGAACTCCATCACTATTTACATCGTTGTCTCATTTATTGAAATCATCTTTTCGAACAAAGCCACTTTAAAAGTTATATATAAGTTATATTTATTATATTATCAACATTACACGTCCTCAACGTTTGGTTTTTATTTGCTCATCCACCTCCAAATCCAGGAAATTAGAGTT